TGTTACTGATAGATCACTGTATCTCTGATTGGCTGTTGCAGATAGATCAATATATCTCTGATTGGCTGCAGCTGATAGATCACTGTATCTCTGATAGGCTGTTGCAGATAGATCAATATATCTCTGATTGGCTGCAGCTGATAGATCACTGTATCTCTGATAGGCTGTTGCAGATAGATCACTGTATCTGATTGGCTGCAGCTTTTAGATCTCTTTGTGTCTGATTGGCTGGTACACATGTTGCAGTAAACAAACATTCTCTACTGTCCTGTTCTTCTGCAGCTTGAACAGGAGCTGGCAAGGAAGCTGGACGATGTTGAAGGTCAGTTCAAACCCAACTACTCACTTTAGGACACTTCAGAGGGTTCTAAATTGATTTAGGATACTCCAGATGGCATGAGAGGGGCACACTTGTTTTTTTAAATGATAGACTCAAATCAGCCGTCTCTTTTGTCAGGAGAGATCAGCTGCTACAAAGACGAGATTGAGACGGAGCTTGAGAAGAGTCGACCCAAACTGAGAGGAATTTACGCCGCCTACGCCAAAGAAATCGGTCAGTACTGATCCTGATTCAGCTGAGTCTGAACAACAGGACTGTTTTAATGACATCATTCCTGGATTTCAGATCCAGAGGACACAGAAGTTTTGTCCACAATCTCTGAGCCCGAGGACCCTGAGGTTGAGGAGGACGAGCTCCAAGCTGCTGCCCAACACCTGACTCAGGACTTCCTGTGTCAGGTGATGCAGGAAGAGGAGGGGCCGGGCAACAAGGCTAACGTTAGTGAACAGGAGTCGGGGCTGGACAAGGAGGGAGCTGAACCTCACCGTCAGGCTGCCCCTCTGGCCGCCATCCTGGGAAAGCTACCAACTGCTGCCAGCCTGGGCCTTCAACAGACCTTTGAGTCAGAGACAGAGGACAAACCTGACGGTATGACCTGACCTCTGTGACATCATTACTTCATCATTGCATCAGACAGGTGGTAAACAGGCTGTTGGTGTTTTTACAGACGAGGAGTCAGAGGGCGGAGAGCTGGACCTGGATGGTATCGATGATCTGGAGATAGATAAGGTCAGTAAAACTATCAGTCACCACTATTTGGAACCGTCCTGTCCTGAAAACGTCCAAACGCAGAAATTTTTATTTGATGAAAAGGATTTTAGACCTTTTAACTGTTTACTGACCACCATCAAAGCTAATCAAAGTTAAAGGAAGCTAATTGATGCTAAGTAGCGCTATCTGATACTTAAAGCGGCTAACAAAAGCTAAAGGAAGCTAATTGATACTAAGTAGAGCTATCTGAAGCTTAAAGCGGCTAACCAAAGCTAAAGGAAGCTAATTGATGCTAAGTAGCGCTATCTGATGCTTAAAGCGGCTAACCAAAGCTAAAGGAAGCTAACTGATGCTAAGTGTTTCTCGTCCTGTGTAGGAGCAGCTGTAACAGATGAGCTCCTCTTTACCCAGATCTCTTTTATCTCCTCATGTTTAAGTTAATGTCCTCTTGTTCCATTTCTACTTTGTAGTACATCCTGAACGAGAAGGAGGTCCAGGTGAAGACAGACCTGTGGATGAAACAGAACGCAGAATACCTGAAGGAGCAGAAAGGTGAGGAAGACTCATCATCATCATCATCATCACCTTTACTTTGTGTGTTTTAAGAACATTGAATCAGTTTTACTTTCACGGATTTCAGAGAAGGAGGAGCGGATAAAGAAGGAGAAGGAACAGGGCACCTACAAAGAGAAGGTGAGTGTGACTGTAACGAACAGGGTCTCCCATCCTGGTGTGCAGGGACTGACCTGGGCTCAGTACCAGCAATGCTTCAGATCAAAGTTTGATTGAGCTGAATTTGGATGTAAAAAAAAGTTGTGATTGAATCGTGTCTGTTTGCAGCCCAAGAAGTCCAAGAAGAAGAAAGAGCAGACGGAAGCCACGACGGCGGGCGAGGCGATCGAGAGGATGTTGGAGAAGAAAAAGATCTCCAGTAAGATCAACTACGACGTCCTCAGAGACCTCAACAGCAGAGGGACAGGAAGTGGGGGGGGCAGCAGTCCTAGCAGACCCCCCAGCGAAGCCCCCGACACACGCAAACGACTCAACCGCCGCCGCCGCAGGAAGGCCAGTGATGCTAACAGAGACCTCGCTGCTAACGCTAGCATCATGGGGAAGAGGTACTACTCATCTAGAAATCTATTTATACTCTTTATAATCCATAAACATGATAGATAACTCCTCAGATTCATTCTATTTCAGGGTCCGCCTCCTTATATCCTCCACACCAAAGAAGAAGAAAACAGCTGTCCAGGTGAGCAACCAGGTGATCTCTGTGCTCTGATGCAGGATTAGCGGTTAGCGATTTGAGAGGCAGGTACAGGTGGGTTTGTAAGGTAAACCCCGCCTCCTCTGTTCAGGTACACAGAGGGACTAATGATCTCGTTCTTTATACTCACTGTGTGTCACAGGAAGAACCACTGGTTACCGTGACAACAGAAACAACAGCTGAAACGGACCTGGACCCTGAACCAGAAACAAGCGCCATCACAGAGACCCCAATCACCACGAGGGAGGAGAGGGAAGAAGAGGAGGAGGAGGAGGTGGAGGTGGAGGAGGAGTGTGTATCCGCTCTGCAGCTCGTAGGAGGTTAGTGATGGTCATCAGAGACACTTCCTGTTGTCTGACATAACTTTATTAACACAGACTTTTTAAACACATCCCAAATCCAACCTGACTCCATCGTCTTGGAGCACTGATGGGTTTGCTGGGTTGTTGGTTTGTGTGTTGGATTTGTTCATTGGTGGGTTGGTAGGGTGGTAAGGTGGTTGGGTTTTTGGGGGGGCAGGGGGTTGGGTGGTTTGTTTGATTGGTAGGGTGGTGAGGTGGTTTGGTTTTTTGGGGGGTGGGGGTTGGGTGGTTTGTTTGTTGGTAGGGTGGTGAGAGGTGGTTTGGGTTTTTGGGGGGTGGGGGTTGGGTGATTTGTTTGGTTGGTAGGGTGGTGAGGTGGTTTGGGTTTTTTGGGGGGGTGGGGGTTGGTTGGTTTGTTTGGTTGGTTGCTTGCTTGATTGGGTGAGTGGTGGTTTTTGTTGGTCTTGTAATGGACATTTCTGTAAACAAGAGTTTGTTTGAATAAAAGATCTTGAGTCAAGCAGTAGTCTTTGCTAAGTTTAATTCTCTTGCAAGTAGAAGGAGCAAAACTACAGAGTGTAAGGACAGATTGAAGAGTTTAATGCTAAACATAGTCTGAGTCTGTGTCTAAGTTCAAAGAAAGGCAGAAGTTCATGCAGATGTTTTCTTATAAAAACAGAAGTTAATGTGGAGGCCTCTGTAGAACCGGACATGCGGGGGCCAGGTGTGTACAGTATTTTTGTAAATGTCACAAACAGCTTATTTTAGCACATCAGAAACATTATATTTCCATGACAGTCTACAGGTGGTTTTGCATGGGTGGTGGTTTTGGTTGGTCTACAGGTAGTTTTGGGTGGGTGGTGGTTTTGGTTGGTCTACAGGTGGTTTTGGTTGGTCTACAGGTGGATTTGGTTGGTCTTCAGGTGGATTTGGTTGGTCTACAGATGGTTTTGGGAGGGTGGTGGTTTTGGTTGGACTACAGGTGGTTTTGGTTGGTCTACAGGTGGATTTGGTCATCTACAGGTTGATTTGGTTGGTCTACAGGTGGATTTGGTTGGTCTACAAGTGGTTTTGGGTGGGTGGTGGTTTTGGTTGGTCTACAGGTGGTTTTGGGTGGGTGGTGGTTTTGGTTGGTCTACAGGTTGATTTGGTTGGTCTACAGGTGGTTTTGGTTGGTCTACAGGTGGTTTTGGGTGGGTGGTGGTTTTGGTTGGTCTACAGGTTGATTTGGTTGGTCTACAGGTTGATTTGGTTGGTCTACAGGTGGTTTTGGTTGGTCTACAGGTGGTTTTGGGTGGGTGGTGGTTTTTGTTGGTCTACAGGTTGATTTGGTTGGTCTACAGGTTGATTTGGTTGGTCTACAGGTGGTTTTGGTTGGTCTACAGGTGGTTTTGGGTGGGTGGTGGTTTTGGTTGGTCTACAGGTTGATTTGGTTGGTCTACAGGTTGATTTGGTTGGTCTACAGGTGGTTTTGGTTGGTCTACAGGTGGTTTTGGGTGGGTGGTGGTTTTGGTTGGTCTACAGGTTGATTTGGTTGGTCTACAGGTGGTTTTGGTTGGTCTACAGGTGGTTTTGGGTGAGTGGTGGTTTTGGTTGGTCTACAGGTTGGTTTGGGTGGTCTACAGATGGTTTTGGTTGGTCTACAGGTGGTTGTGGTTGGTCTACAGGTGGTTTTGGTTGGTTGGTTGTGGTTTTAAAGGAAGTTCTTCCTCGTCACTGTAACTTTGCTAAATGTTGCTTAGTGCTCAGGATGGATTAATGTCGGGTCTTTGTAGATAATATAACTATAAGTAAGGTCATGGTTGGTTGGTTGGTTGTTCTTTATGTTGATTGGTTCATTGGTTTGCTTGTTTCTTTGTTTATTGGTTAATTGTTTGACTCATTGATTGATTGATTGATTGATTGATTGATTGTTTCAGATTACGGCTGTGAGGAGGAGGAAGTCTTCTAACCCTGACAACCAGCTGATGAACTCTCCGTCCGTTAATGAGGCAGCTCCGCTAAGGATGATCAATAACCAATATCAGTGATCGATCAGTCTCACCGTCAACAGCTTCACTTTGATGAAACTGAAGTCTGCTTTCACATCCTTCTCTTCCAACCATTTTTAACTTCTTAAACTGATCACTGATATTTGTATGGATTTGATCACACTAAGCTTCCCGTGTTGTTTATATTGTAAAGTAGAAAAGTTGTAGATTTTACTTGTTTGTTTATTTTTCTATCATCGTGTTGTGTTTGATTGTAGAAATGAAATTTCACATTCCTGTAAAATGTCAATGAAACCTTCAGAACAGAAAAGATGAAAAACTTCTGGAAAACAAAACTTTGCAAACCAAGTGTTCATGTTTTTATTTACTTTGTGTAACTTTGTGTTTTTTTTTTTTTTTTTACAATGAAATGTACAACAAATAATGATAAACTCATAACAAAAGAGAAAAAAGTAACTGAAGTAAAAGTGTTTCTTCATCAACCCTCCTGTAGTCCGGCTTCTTGTGTCTTTGTTGTGTCTTAAGTTCTGGTGTAAACTAATCTTTCATAACACACGAGCACATTCAAGTATTTATGCTAAGCTCAGCTAACCTTTGCCTGTCTCAAGAGATTCATGAGGATTAAACTGATGTGATCCTGATTGAGAGAAACCAGAGTACTTCTTTAAAAACCAGACCAGAGGCCCCAGGACTCCCCCTTGAGGGACTCCACAGGTCTAGTTCACGCTCAGTCAGCCTGTCAGTCGAGCTCCTGGGTTCAGAGCTCTACAGCCTCTCAGCCTGTCAGTCATTATCCAGGGTTTAAAGATCCACCGTCTCAGTATCCAAACGTCTGTTTGATGGCCTGGAAGTAGAACCGGGTCCAGCCCTCTCTGGTGGTGTCCTCCTCCCCTGCAGGAACCCCTCGACACTCCATCCTCAGATCGGTCTCGTCTCCCCGGTCCTCCAGCTCTAGGATGATGGTGGCGTAATGCTCTGATGAACAGACAACAACAAACAAGACTCAGAATTCGGAGTGTCCCTGAACACAACACAGGGCTCTAAAAACAGAGCCCGCATTTGAACTCGTAATTAAAGGAAGCTGTACCGCTGGGCCACGTCCTGAAACGCCACCTCATCTCGATCCTCTGGTCCGGTACCTGCAAGGATGAGTAGAAGTCTGGTTACCATGGCGATGTGACAGCTCATCAGACAGTAATAGAGTGCTGTAGTAATGAGTCCTGAACCCGGAAGTGAATTAGAGTTTTAGCACTTCCAGTTTCATCATCTCAAAGTGTATGGGGTATTTGATTGAGTTTAAATGCCTATAATAAGGTCTGTGGTAAACCCAAGCTTAAAGGTCCAATCAGTGAGATGTGTAGCGAGTGAGATGATAAAGGTATCTTACTATATGATCATTAAGGAAACATGCTATGTTGAAGTGCTGACTTCTCTGACAACAATGCAGCAGCCAGTATGTCCTCCTTCTAACTTTAGATTCTGCTCCTGAATGCTCTGGATTTGTTTGGACCAGAGAAGGTAGGCGCTTTTAAGGCGCCCCCCCCACACGGCCGTTTGGACACACAGGTCACCACATGGTGACCTGTGTGAGCATTGACTCTAGAAAAAACCCCGTAGGCTTTTTGTCGAGTGGAACCAGTGCAATGCTAACTTCCGGGTTCGTCATCCCTGCAGCACTCTATTGGATGGGAAGCTGTGACCTCACCAGCTGTGTGAACTCTCCACTGATGCTCCCATCTAACAGCTGGAACCTCCCACCACGACGCCCGTCCACTGTCGCTGCTGACCGTGTAAACACCTGAACAAACTGCAGAGACAGGAACAGTCAGCTGACATATCAAAGGACTTTTGGCTGGTATGAGTTTGGCCATTCCCAGTCCTGCTTTGTACCCAGTCCAGTCTGGTTTTATCCTGGTCTGTACTGGTCCTATCTCTGGTTCCTTTCATGGTTTTGTTCTGGTATTATCCTTGTCTATTCTGGTTTCTTCTCCTGTTTGTTTTTTACTGGTTTTATTACTTGCTTATCCTGGTTCTGTCTCTGTTTGTCCTGACTTTTATCCAGTCTTATTTCTGTCTGTCTGTCCTTGTTTTATCCTGGCATGTCCTGGATTTGTCCTGGTCTGTTCTGGTCTGTCCTGGTTTTGTCCTGGCTCTGTCCTGGTTTAGTCCTGGTTCTGTCCTGGTCTGTCCTGGTCTGTCCTGGTCTGTTCTGGTTTTGTCCTGGTCTGTTCTGGTCTGTCCTGGTTTAGTCCTGGCTCTGTCCTGGTTTTGTCCTGGTCTCTTCTGGTCTGTCCTGGTTTTGTCCTGGTTTAGTCCTGGTTCTGTCCTGGTCTGTTCTGGTCTGTCCTGGTCTGTTCTGGTCTGTTCTGGTCTGTTCTGGTTTTGTCCTGGTCTGTTCTGGTCTGTCCTGGTTTTGTCCTGGTCTGTCCTGGCTCTGTCCTGGTTTTGTCCTGGTCTGTTCTGGTCTGTCCTGGTCTGTTCTGGTCTGTCCTGGTTTTGTCCTGGTCTGTTCTGGTCTGTCCTGGTTTTGTCCTGGCTCTGTCCTGGTTTTGTCCTGGTCTCTTCTGGTCTGTTCTGGTCTGTCCTGGTTCTGTCCTGGTCTGTTCTGGTCTGTTCTGGTTTTGTCCTGGTCTGTTCTGGTCTGTCCTGGTTTTGTCCTGGCTCTGTCCTGGTTTAGTCCTGGTTCTGTCCTGGTTTTGTCCTGGTCTCTTCTGGTCTGTTCTGGTCTGTTTTGGTTTTGTCCTGGTCTGTTCTAGTCTATTCTGGTCTGTTCTGGTCTCTCCTGGTCTGTTCTGGGTTGATACCTCCTGGTTGATGAAAGTCTTGTAGAGCTCGTCGGCAGATGTTTGGAAGGTTTCCTCAAGGTTGAAGCTGCGGGTTGAGATCCGA